AAAGCAACTCTGTTGAAGCGCAATGAGAGGCTCAGTCAGCTCACTGGGACACTGCTCAGCCTCAGGGATCGTGAACACACTCACACACAGTCACAGTGACACAGTCACAGAACCGCACCTGCAAAAAACTGAAAACCCCAGAAATTGCGCCTGGCGAGGTACTTCCAGCCTGCTGTGGGAACAGCTGAACGCTGCTCGCCAAGGCTCGCGCCTCGCCCCAGCATCTCGGGTTCCCTCGCCCCCCTGAGGCAAGGGGACCCCGTGAGTCGTGGGAGTGCCGCGCCAGAATTGCGCCCGCCGCCGCAAGTTGTGGCCTGCGATGCCCTCCTCTGCCGGCGCGCTTGCGCTCGCCCTCCTGTCCCTCGCCTGCTGGGGAACCTGGTCCAACACAGCCAAGGCAGCCACCCACCTACCGTTCGCACTCTACTACTGCGACTTCACGCTCGGCGTCTTCGTGACGGCTGCCGTTGTGTTCATCACAATTGGAGACGGCCGTGTCTTCCTCTTTGAGGATGGTGCTGCTGCCGGCGGTTTGCACGTTCTGGCCGCGCTTGGTGCCGGCGCAGTCTTCAACCTCGCAAACGTCCTGCTCGTCTCCGGCGTCAGCCTGGCAGGGCTAATCGTAGCCTTCCCCGTGGGCATCGGCACTGCCCTTGTGCTTGGCACACTCCTCACGTTTTGGATCGACCCCGCCTCGACTAGCTATCCCGCGCTGCTCTTTTGCGGTGTCGCCGCCGCCTTCTGCGCCATCGTCGTGCAGGTTCTCGCCGATCGTGAGCACCGAGGTTCGCGGCAGAAGAGGGACGGCGTGACAGAGCTCGAGCACTCTTGCGAAGTGCCCCACAGCGACGGCCATTTGCGGCGAGCCGAACGCGGCGGCGTTAACGGCGGCGGGTTGGGCGGCAACGCGGGCGCGACCATCATTTGCGCGGTGAGCGGCGTGCTGATGGCTTGTTGGAGCCCGCTCAACGCATTCGCCATGCGCACCGCGCCCGACGGCACGTGCGATGGATGCCTCGCGCCGCTCGGGTCGTCCTTCCTCTTCACAAGTGCAGTCTTATTGACGTCGCCCGCAATTTGCGCCTGTCTCATGCGGTGGCCGCTCGTCGGTAGCCCCACCACCTTTGCCACCTACGCCAAGCTCTCCCCCCGCGACCACGCGCTGGGCTGGTTGGGCGGTGCTATCTGGGCAGTCGGAACTGTCTCCAACCTGTTGAGCGGCAGCAAGCTCGGTCTCGCGCTCTCGTATGCAATCGGCCAGGCTGCGCCGATGGTCGCCAGTCTGTGGGGGCTGGTATACTATCGCGAGTTCGCCGGGGCCAGCTACCGCACCGCCGCGCTGGTGGCATCCATGTTTGTGCTTTACCTGGCTGCCATCGCCCTCACCGCGTGCAGCAAATGACAGCATTTCATCTGTTTAGTCTGTAATGTCGCCCGTGCACCGCGAGAGAGCCGTCCGCTGGCGGGTGCCCAGACGTCTCTGACGCGTGACGCACGTAGCCTCCTCGTTCTCGAGACTCGCCACTCGGTTTTCTGTGGTAAATAACCTGGTAATATTCGTAATAACCTATTTTTTACGCGGCGTGGCGCTCCACTCCACGGTGACACGACCCCTCATCGCCTTCACGCCACGGTCCTCTGTCCGCCCGCCAGTTGAGCGAAACGCCGAAGGCAACCTTCGCGACAACCAGCAGCACGAGCATCGCGCCGCCCGCGCCCCAAAGGACGCGAATGAAGAGGGAAAGCGCCGCCTCCGCCTCACGCGCGCGATCCGCCGCACTCGCCGCGCCGCCGCCGACGCCCGAGAGGGACTTGGCCAGCAGCAGGGCGAGCGACACCAAATAGCCGCCGAAATCGGAGAGGAAAACGAGGAGGGCGATTGTGCCTAGATGCCACGCGCATTCCGATCAGGCCGCGCCCACGGGCAGACATGAAGAGCGCGGATGTCGGCGCCCTCGGTGCGCGTCGCGGCGAGCAACCGCTCGTAGAATGGCGTCCCCATGGTCGCGTAGCACCTACGACAGCCTCCCGCCGCGCGTCGACCAATCGCGAGTCACAGCAGAGGGGGCGCCCCGTCGTCCGGAGCACAGGAAGACGCCCGTGCCCAGCAGCAGCTGCCACGAGCCGCCTCCGAGCAGACCCAGCTGCCACGCGCCCGTCGCGACGAGGGCGAGGCAGGTCGCTGCGATCATGACAGACAGCATCGCCTGTACGCTCGCGGCGGCAAGGTGTGGGAGAGACGCCCTTCGGCCCGCGATGATGCGCACCGGCACCGCCTGCATCGCGCGGTGAGAGTCGCGGATACGACCAAAGGCGACGAGAGTCGCGGCGGAGACGAGGGCGCCCGGCAGGTCTGCGGTCCAGAGGATCCAGCCGGGCGCCGCGCCGCCGGGGGCGCCGAGCGAGGCGGCGAAGAGCTGTTCACAGCACGAGGCATGTGAAGAGGCGCTGTTGACACCCTGGCGCCGGTGGAGGCGGCGTCCGGATCGGTGGAGGCGGTGGTGGGGAGGGTAGGCTGGGGGTGGTGTCGAAAGGGTTGGTTGTGGCGGTCGCGAGGGTGCGAGGCGAGGACCTGGTCGGCGAAGAGGTCGCGCAGCGAACGCACCCCAGTGAGGAGGGCGTAGGCAACGCAGAGCGGCGCGAGGCCGCATGCCCACCGCCGGAGAAAGGCGCGCCTGTCGCGAGCCACGCTCATCTCGGTCGATGTCGGTCGATGTCGGTCGATCTGTCGCAGGCCACGCCGAAACACGCCCGGCGCGGGGATGTGTCTTGTCTGTGTGTCTATCGTCTTGTTTGTGTGTCCGTGTGTCCGTGTGCCGCCCCATACCCCAGTGTGGCCGTCTCTCCGTCTCGCTTAGCGTGCCACCCCGTACCCCTGGGTCCAGTCGCTGGTCACCCTGGTGTCTTCACGCTCTCCAGTCTGTCTATAGCGGGGAGGAGCGGGGGAGACGCGCGCGCCTCGCCTCGCCGCCCATAGGCCTTCGAGCGGTGCGGGCGGCGACGTCGGCGGCGCTCGGTCGCGGCGCTCGGTCGAGCAGCAGCAGGAGCGCGGCGCTCGGAGTCCACGCGCACGCGCCGACGGCGAGCGGCATCGCAGCCGGCGACACGCCCGCAGAGAGGAAGGCGCTGCCGGCGCCTGGGGTGGGAGGGGTTGGGTGGGAGCAGTGGGTCAGCTGGGTGCGACGAGGACATGCACATGACATGCACATGCACATGCACATGCACATGCACATGCACATGCACATGCACATGCACATGCACATGCACATGCACATGCACATGCACATGCACATGCACATGCACATGCACATGCACATGCACATGCACATGCACATGCACATGCACATGCACATGCACATGCACATGACATGCACATGTGCATGCACATGTTCATGTCGGTGGCGTGGGCGTGTGATAAGGCGAGAGAGAGCACGCACACTGCTGCTGCCACTGCTGCCACTGCTGCCTCTGCTGCTGCCACTGCTGCTGCCACTGCTGCTGCCGCTGCTGCTGCTGCTGCCACTGCTGCTGCTGCTGCTGCTGCTGCTGCTGCTGCTGCTGCTGCTGCTGCTGCTGCGGCTGCTGCTGCTGCTGCTGCTGCGTCTCCACCTCCACCTCGACCTCTTACTCGTCCTCCTCCTCGTCCTCCTCCTCGTCCTCCTCGTCCTCCTCCTCCTGCTGCTGCCACTGCTGCTGCTGCCACTGCTGCTGCTGCTGCTGCTGCTGCTGCTGCTGCTGCTGCTGCTGCTGCTGCTGCTGCTGCTGCTGCTGCTGCTGCTGCTGCTGCTGCTGCTGCTGCTGCTGCTGCTGCTTACTAGCGCGCCGCGGCTCGCGTTGCCGGCGTAGATGAGGCAGAGCGTGGCGAGGGCGACGTGCCTAATTGATGAGCCACCACGATCCACAGCTCGCCTCACGGTATCCGCCCGACCGTGAGGCTGCCCGCCGCTCGGTGGTGACGCGGCCCTCGAGGTAGGTGAGCATGCACCCTGCGGGCAGAGTGTGTCGCCGAGGGCAGGTTAATGTGCTAGTCTTGCGCTGAGGCGTGCGCTGGCAGAGCTCTATGTGTGCTGCAGACTCACCCCAGAGAAAAGAAGAGAGGAAGGCAGAGGCAAAGACGGCGCCAACCTTCGCGGCGGGATGCGGCGCCGCGAGGCCCGCGCCCTCGATGAGCATCGACGAGGTGATCAGGGAGAGGAGAAGCGTGCGGCGGTGGCGGAAGAAGAGCCGCGACGATGCAAAGTGTGCCGCAGGCAGCTTTGCGGCCGCAAATCCGCCGATGAAGGCAAAGGATATGCAGGACCGCAGGGTAAACCCGCCACGCACCGGCACATCGAGCACATCGGGAGGAAGCACAAACGCGGGGTAGCGCCAATAGTAGGTGCACGCGTAGGACAGTGCGCAGCAGATCGAGGTGATCCACTCCCACTGCGAGCGGGACGGCGCGACGACGCGGCGGAGAAGTGGCGCGTCGTCTTGGCTGGCGCAGCAAGCCACTTCCGCGTCCGAGGATGACATTGCTCGAGTGTGCACAAGTCTCTCTCACAGCACACTGGCTCGACAAGGCCGCCGACAGAGAAGGTAAAAAGCTCGCTGCGCGGACTCGGCAAGTGCACAGAAAGAATTCTTAAGATACAAGCCTCTCTCACAGCACACTGGCACGACAAGGGCACAGACTGGCGCGGACTGGCACACACACAGGCTCACCACCGGAGCCGCCTAAGCGACTCCGTTAAGAACGGCAATGCACTCCGCACCATGCACAATGCCGCTCTCCCCGCACGCTAGCTCGTTCACCGTCTGCCACGCCACGGCGGTGTGGAGGACGACAGACAAGCGCTGCATCTGCAGCCCGTGCCAGTTCTTGGTGGTCCATGTGACCTCGTCCAGGTGCTGAGCGTGCGAAAGTTTATTGCTCAGCTGGTTCGCCGCCTCCCTCAGGGTGCTGCGAACCTCCTTTCCAAAGCCTCCGAAAGCCTCAAAATCAAACAAACGTAGATCGCAATCCTGCTGCCGCGCAAAGGGGTAATCGCCAGGCTGCTCCGTGAGCTTTCCCTTGGGGGCATCCTCCTCCTCCCCCTCCTCCCCCTCCTCCTCGGCCTCCTCCTCCTCCCCCGCCACCGCCGCTGCCATCGCTTCCGACGGAGACCACTTGCCGCGCCCTTTGACCAACTTGAGCAGCCCGGTCTCCGTGTTGCCAAAGCGCACGTAGGCCCCCTTCCAGCCGAGCTCTCCGTCGCCGGCCGTGCCCTTGCCCGTGCTCGCAAGCGAGCTCGTGAGCTTCAAATCGGCAACGAGGCGCCTGTGCCCCCTGCCGATGTTTGCCGCCGCCACGTCAGGTTGTTTTGGATTACTGTAACTGAGGTGTGCGGTCGGCTCCATCTCGATGATCATGCCCCACGCCGAGCGGAGGCATTTGACCAAACGTTTGAGTAGAAATTTGTGTCTTGTAGCATGCTTTGACCGAGGGTTAACCATCGCGGCGTCGCCAAGGACGTCGTGTAGCTGGCCGCTGGGTGCCCTCTTGCCTGCCTCCACCGCCTGGCAGGCGACATCAAGGGGGAGCCCAAGGCGGCGCTGGACGGTGACGCGCATCGCCCAGGACTCCATCTTCATGTCATCACGCATGGGGATGGCGTTGAGGAAGGCGCCGGCCCCTGGTTGGCTGACGGCGACAAAACGGATCGCCTCTCGCCAGCATTTGTGGTTCTTGCGTCTTCCGACCTTGTTGCCTTTGGAGGGCGCCTTGCGGCCGCCGCTGCGAAGCGCCTCGTCGGTAAGCTCCTTGGCAAGGTCGAGCCAGTTAGCATGGTGCACGCCAGAGGTGTACCGTCGCTGCGCCTGGTGCAAGAACTCGTTGGTGGACGAGAACTGGGCCAGGGGAAGCAGCTCCGCAGCCGGCGCCAGCCCGTGAGGGAAGAAGCGGAACCTCGGCTCCGCCTTCGCCTCGTTGATCGCATGACGCTCCGCCACTCGCCGCCGCCTCGCGGCCCCGCCCGCCGCAGCTCGCTCTGGTTCCCCACCCGCCGAAGGGCCTCCCGGAGGACAACCACGTCGGCGTCGTCCAGACTGACGCCAAGCACGTCGCAGAGCTCCTCCTCGAGAGTGAGAAGGGGCTGGCAAGGAAGCGGGTGGCCAGCGCGGCGGCAGACGTCGCCTCGCAGCAGGTCGCCTGGCAGCTGCTCGCCTGGCAGCTGCTCGCCTGGCAGCTGCTCGCCTGGCAGCTGCTCGCCTGGCAGCTGCTCGCCTGGCAGCTGCTCGCCTGGCAGCTGCTCGCCTGGCAGCTGCTCGCCTGGCAGCTGCTCGCCTGGCAGCTGCTCGCCTGGCAGCTGCTCGCCTGGCAGCTGCTCGCCTGGCAGCTGCTCGCCTGGCAGCTGCTCGCCTGGCAGCTGCTCGCCTGGCAGCTGCTCGCCTGGCAGCTGCTCGCCTGGCAGCTGCTCGCCTGGCAGCTGCTCGCCTGGCAGCTGCTCGCCTGGCAGCTGCTCGCCTGGCAGCTGCTCGCCTGGCAGCTGCTCGCCTCGCAGCTGCTCGCCTCGCAGCTGCTCGCCTCGCAGCTGCTCGCCTCGCAGCTGCTCGCCTCGCAGCTGCTCGCCTCGCGGTGCGCCCGGCGGTCGAGCTGAAGCAGCAGCGCCAGGAGGGGCCTCCAGGTGCTCGCCGCCCCATCGCGGCGGCCGGCCGGCCGAGCTCTGCTGAAGCGTGCCCGGGATGCCTTTTGCATCCAGGCGTCGTTCTGCGGAGCGCGGCCCACCGGCCGGTGGCGCGCATGCCGAGCCAGAGTCCTCGCGACCGGTGCCAGCGGCAGCGGTCGCGCGCGGCTGTAGCCGCGTAGGAGCCCTGGGTCGGCCACCGTGGCCACTGCCCAAGGCAGCGGCCACCATGGCAGCGCGCTACGGCGTCTCGTCTATGAAAAAAATTTCCACGCACACTGGCACGACAAGGGCGCGGACTGGCGCGGACTGGCACACACAAAAACATCTCCCAGGAGGAGACACCCCGCCATAAAAACGGGGAGGCGATGGAGTGCTTTAAAGTTCAGATATAAAACTAAGTCAATCAGAAGTTTGCGGAGTTGGGAATCAAGATGACACAACGAAACGCGCCCGGGGGCGTGACGCGGGGCAACTCTGCGCTCGACTCTGCGCGGCGAGACTCAACACGCGTCGTCAACAAAGACTCGCGCGCTTCGGAACGGCCCGCTTGTTCAGACCCACGCCTCGACCTTCTTGGGCAGCATCTGGTCCGACAGGTCCTCTCCGTGGCCTAGGCGGCCGGTCTCGCCCTCGCCCCAGCTCCAGACGGCGCCGTCGGCGGTGGTGGCGAGGCTGTGCTGCCATCCAGCCGACACGGCGATGACGCGCTGGCCAGCCATGGCCTCGACCTTCTTGGGCAGCAGTTGCCCCTGCATGTCGCCGTGGCCGAGCTTGCCATAGCTTCCATTGCCCCAGCTCCAGACAGCTCCGTTGGCGGTGAGGGCGATGCTGTGGCTGCTTCCCGCCCACACGGCGACGACGCGCTGCGCCAACACCTCGACCTTCTTGGGCAGTTGCTGGTGCTGCCGGTCGCCGTGGCCCAGCTGGCCTTCGTCTCCACCGCCCCAGCTCCAAACGGCGCCGTCGGCGGTGATGGCGAGGCTACCGGCACCTCCCGCCGACACGGCGACGACACGCTGGGCAGCAAAGGCCACGATCTTCTTGGGCAGCGACTGGTGCTGCTGGTCGCCGTGGCCCAGCCGGCCATGGTGACCATAGCCCCAGCTCCAGACGGCGCCATCGGCGGTGAGGGCGAGGCTGTGGTCGCCTCCAGCCGACACGGCGACGACGCGCTGGCCAGCCAAGGCCGCGATCGTCCTCGGCAGCAGCTGGCGCTGCTCGTCGCCGTGGCCCAGCTTGCCAAAGTATCCACCGCCCCAGCTCCAGACGGCGCCACCGGCGGTGAGGGCAAGGCTGTGAGCCCCTCCAGCCGAGATAGCGACGACGCTCTGGCCCGCCAAGGCCTCGACCTTCGTCGGCTGCCACTGGTCCTGCTCGTCGCCATGGCCCAGCGCGCCCACGCCCGAGCCTCCATTGCCCCAGCTCCAAACGGCGCCGCTGCTGGTGAGGGCGAGGCTGTGGAATACTCCAGCCGACACGCTCACGGCGCGCTCACCGCTCAGCGGGGAAGGGAGGCGGGTCGGCGTGTTGAGCCGCGTCACGCCCTCGCCGTGACCGAGCAGTCCCGGAATCCAGTTCTCAGCCGTTCCGCACGACGAGAGCCGCCCCTCGCCGACGATAAAGAGGCTGTGCCAACAGCCTGCCGCCACCCTCGCCGGCGGGTTGGCCTCGTGCAGCAGTGCCACAAAGCACAGCCACCGCACGGGGCAGCCCTCGCCCTCCGGCTGCGCCGGCAGCTCAAAGCCGCGCTCTTGCGCCCACAAGCGGATGGCCTCCACCGCGAGTGAGGCGTGGAAGAGCAGCGAGACGGCCGCGACGCGAGCGATGTCGGCGGGGCGGTCGCAGCGGGAGAAGACGCGCACGAGGAGCTCTGTGGGGAGGTCGAGGAGGCGGGCGGGCGGCGGCGTGCTTGGCGAGGGCGCGTCGGCGTCGGCGGAGGCGAGGCGGCGCGAGCGGCGGCGCGGCGGGGTGGACATCAACAATCAACAAATCAGTAACCAGCCTCCGGCGGGGCCCCCCGCTACCATCCAAACCCGAGCCCGGTCTATTAATCATAGATCGAGGCTCAAGTGTGACACAAGTCCACACTGCACACACATATACGACATACACACATACACAAAGCAACTCTCACTCACGACACACGGGCACCGGGTGGAGCGGCGGCGGCGGCGGCAGCAGCACGCGCGGGCGGACGGATTCGGACGGGGCGGAGCAGCGACCGCCTGGGCGGCCGCTGCTCTGTCTGCCAGAGCGCGCGCCGTCTGCGCTGCTCGAGCGCGGTCAGGTGCACAGGGAAGCGTGGCGGCGCGGGGACGCGCGGCGGCGGTGGCGGCGGCGGCGGCGGCAGCGGCACGCGCGGGCGGACGGATTCGGACGGGGCGGAGCAGCGACCGCCTGGGCGGCCGCTGCTCTGTCTGCTAGAGCGCGCGCCGTCTGCGCTGCTCGAGCGCGGTCAGGTGCACAGGGAAGCGTGGCGGCGCGGGGACGCGCGGCGGCAGTGGCGAGCAGGCGAGCGGCCCGCGCGCGGCGAGGCGGACAGGTGATCGGCAGGCGGGTGATGGGCCGGTGAGTGACCGCGCCCAGCGATCGGAGCGAGCCAATCGTCGCTTGGCCGCAGCTGACCTTGAAGGCGTGCGGAGCGCGACTGTTGGTGTCGGGGGGCGGCCGTCATGTGGCGAGGAGGGAGGACGACAAGTGCGCGTCGTACGGGTCGCTCTTCATCGGCCAGTCGAGCGGCACTCAAGTCGAGACCGAGCATGGGCGACGAAAAGCCGGTGGGGCCGGTGGGAGGTAGGACGAGATTGTTTCGCGCTTTCAAAAGCGGCTTCGCTGCAGGCTTGACCCCAGTTGGGCCACGGTGACTAGGTGTGAATGGGGGAGTTCGGTATTCACAGTCGTTTACACTGAGGGAGCAATGGCAATTATTATTCGGGTTGCTTTGCCGTCATCATTCAGGGCGGCGTCCTACCATGGCGGCTCAAGTCAATTATTAATATTGCTGGTGTCCGCCGTGCGAGGCGCCGTTCCACTTCGGCGCCGCCGGTCTGGCGCGGTTTCCTATTTGCAATTATTGCACGCCGCGCCGCCGTTGGGCGAACTTATCGGCAGCAACTTATTGGCGCGGTTTTCGCGATGTCTCTCTTAGCTCTGGGTCGCAATGGGCGATCCCAGGCGGGAGCAGAGGCCAGTGGCCTCGATTCTCTGATGGGCTGGGCCTACACTACGATCGAGTTCACGTTATTCCTCTGGTCGATCGCCGTGGGCCTCGCTTATGACGGTCTTGCAGCCCTTCTCACTAGCCGGGTCTACCGTGCCGGGGCTGGGGCAGTCCTCCTCTACCTGCTGGGTACCACCCTGATTGAGCTGGTGACAAACGGTGACGGGGGAAGCCCTGCCCTAGAGGGAATTTTTCACAATATCGCAACCGCGATACCGCGCGATATTTGGCGATAAAATGCGATAAATGGCGATGTTGTGCGATGCTCGCGATCACGCGAGCCCTTCACAGCACGCCTCAGCGACGCGCGTGAAGCGTTACAAAGGGACGGGCGCCGTGCGCTTCGTCCTGGCGCTTCGCTCGCTCCGCTCGCGTTGCGCAGCTGGATCTGGCTGGCTACACACCTCGCGGCTTGCACATGAGCAGCGACAGCAGCGACCACGGCAATAGTCAGAAGAAGAAGAAGCGGTCCCGGCACAAGTGCACGGCGACAGCACTGCCGCCCGCAGAACCGTCGCCCACACCACAGCCGGCGCCGTGGCGGTCCACACAGTTCCAACTCGTCGACGGCGTGAACCGCTACCGTGCTGGACAACAGGAGGTCGACGGCACTATCATGCTATATGGGGCCATCGGCGGCCACATGTGCAGCTTTGCCCAGCTGACCGACTACTCCCGAGGGCTCGAGGTGGGACGACGCAAGGCCCCGCGAGAGCGCTTCGCCTGCGGCGCGCCTGCCCGGCCATGGACCAGGCTTCACCGCTGCTTGCGGACGGTTGATCGCATCGCCTACCGCATCGCGAATGACCAGTGCTGCGACCACTTGAGCTTGCACTGCCTGCCTGCTGACCCGGTGCAAAGAATCAGCGTCTCGCTCTCTTCGGCGCATTGATTGTGCATGATTGCTCAAGTAGCTCGAATTGGCATCCACCGCAATGCAAACATGACTGGAGAGCATATGCAACACGGACGCAGGCTTGCCGTTGGCGACGTCGGTTATCAGAGGGGTCAAGTCATAGTGACGCGCTCGATGGGTTGCTGCATTGACGCAAACAGCAAAAGCAGCGCAGCGGAGACCTTCTCATGAGTGGTGGTTCGCACCATGCGGCAGTGGGGACATCAGGTGCGCGAATTTAAGCGCCATTTTCGATTCCGTGGTTTTGGCACTGTCTACCAACTTTGGTA